TTGTATAATCGAGAATGTCGCCGACCAGTTTTATTAAGATGGAGAACTGAATATACTTAAGCGTAATCAAAGTGCTCTCGACTTGAATGCATTATTTGAAGATAAAAACTGTTTATACTAACGGATGAAAGATCTATTATTCCACTAATTCATTTTGATTGATTCTATTTATTGTTAAAGATCGGTTAAAATTCGGTTTCTTAAAATTAGTGTGGATTTCTATTCTATTATGGAATAAGAAAAATATTATGTAATTTTTTTTATTTTTCTCTACAAAAGTTCTAAGAAAATTTCTATTACATATTTATTATACAAGAAATTTACTATTTCAGAGAATTTTCTAATTAAAAAATTTAAAATATATATTTTATCTTTTTCAAATTTATGTTTATGTTAATTATAAGAGAGATTTTATGATATGATTTAATGTAAATGAAAAACGACAATTTCTAAAATGAATATAAAAGTCATAAAGAAATTAATTGAAAAAGATAGCGTCATGTTTCCACGAACGCGTAATAATGTGAAAATATAGAATTTTTAATTGTTTCTAATGAAGATCGCAGCCTTGCCCCTTTCTCTTTAAAAATTACTCTTTGTTCATGCGACGTTTTCTGTGAATGAAATGATCGTGCGGGAATAGTGGAAGCCGCGCCATTGTATTATACTATCCCTCTTTATCGGCGACATGGCACGGGTTGTCACACTGGCATAGTGAGACGGATTGACCTTAACGATGTAACCGAGGGATAGTTCCACCCTGATTCGCGTCCCTCTCGTTGGCGGTCCTGCGGAAAATTGGCGGACAGCCAATGAACCGAAATGTGGGCCAACTTCGTCGGCCGCCTGTTTTTGTGCCATATCGAATGTAAATGACGCTGCCAAGTCTTCACTAATTGTCAGATCGGTACGAATCGGTACCAGTTGAACTTTTTATCTTGGCAGAGACTAAAAAATCCTTCACGCCAATAAAAGTGTATATGTATAATGAACGTCATGATATTGGATGGACAAGGTCATGATCGCAGAAGTGAATGTAGAACTTTCGAATAATTTAATAAAATAATGATATAAAATCAATGATAGATTAATAAATTTTATGGATTTAATTAGATTGAAAATCATATATATATATATGTATGTTATTATAATTATATGTATTTATAATTTGTTCTTTTCAAATTAATGAATACAGAGCAACAAGTACACTCTCATAATTTATTATTATAAAATTCGATTTGTTTAAAGAGAAATCACTGGAATAAATATCTGATCTGACAGCCAGGGATTTCACGATAATCCCATTTCGCAACAATATGACAGACGATAAAACTCGTAAATCTTGTTAATTCCCACGTGGTTAATTGAAAAAAACAATCAATTTAATTGTTTTCCACATGAATCTCGTTTTAAAAAGATTTAACCAGTATGCGAGATCACTATAAAAATGCCCTATATTTTATTAACGATTCTGTGACGTTCCTACTACAGTTGAATATCGCAAATCGAAAGAATAAAAATTTAGAAGTTTTTCAAGGTAATAATAAAGAGACAAAAATATTCGTCTGCATTCATGTACGAGTTTCCCGACGCTACATTTTTGTATAGAAAGCTCGAAAATACGGAAGAGCCGAAAGCACGGATTATTGGAGAGATATCGGACGCCGTTTCTATTTATGGCCATGAATGCGGGTACGAGTGGATGCAAATATATCTCGCGGACGAGCCGGTGATATATCTGTACGATACAATCTTAACACCCTTTCTAATTCCGACTAAATTAACGATGCGCTGGAAATTAACTGCACGTGCTTAATCCACGTGCCACTCTGCGTCGGATTCTATTCTGAACATGTTCCCAACGGTAGACACTCGAGAGAATCGAGGCAATCGAAGAAAGCAGCCCAGGATTGGGACAGTAATTAGGACATTCCCAGGATTCCAGCGCGTAATCAGTTCCTGTGAACCCCTTAATTGGATCAGCGAGCCAGCGATGTTCAAGCGCTAAGGAACGAAACTCGATCGATCTTCCGTTATTTTTCAGGCTGCTCTTCGTGACGTCAAAGCGGAAAGAGTCGTGTCGTTTCTTTCGCGTTCGAGAGATTCGTTGATTGAAAACGACAAAAAGCGACGGTCGAGACAATACGGAACACACAGCGGGCGGACCGACCGAGGGATTTTAGGGATGACCAGGCGTGGGTTGATTCGCTGTATCACCGGGATATCAGATGATCTTCCGATTTCCATTCAGGTCAATCCTTTTACTCCCACAATCACCGTGATGAGGCGCCCGTCGATCGGCGCGTGGGTGGTACGCCGGCACGAGAGCGTGGATGTGCGTGCTCGCCGCGGCCTGCTCGCGATGACAAAACGATGGTGTTGGTAGCAACGCGGGCGTATTGATTTTGTGGTACAATACGGTAACTGCGAGGTGGAGCCGTTGCAGCTCCAGTAAGACTGTCGTACCGCCATATTTGTTTCCCTCGGCCAGACCAGATCAGACTGCGGAAAGCGGATTTTCTGCGGTTTATACCGGGATCGGCCAGTCGTCCCACCATTGCGTAAGTACAGATTGAAGATCTAGACGCGACCCCACGCAGTTCCGCGCGCAGTTCCCCGGCCGTTCTCATCCCCGCGAGGAGCGCGGACTCCGAGCGCGTAGTAGCAACCCCTCGGCGAGCAGGTGGCGAATCCGCGCTCGCGACGAAGTCCGGCGTAAACAACGCGTGACAAGTGCCTGACAGGTGATTGTCTCACGGTGAAACTACGCCTGCAACTCTCTTCGAGGTGCGCCCGAGCTCCGTACGTACTCGACGCGTGTTTTTTTGCCGTTTGAACGATCATCGCGTGTCCGCGACGCTATTGCCGGCTGAGGAATGCAGGAAAGCAGACGAGCTCGTTTTGTATCTTCGAGAATGATTCTGGAGGACTGGTGATCTGTTAGTGAATCACCGTGGATTTGCGCGAGTTAATGTAATTTCGACGAGGATAGTTCGAAATACAGTATGGAATATTTCAATGACGTGTATCTTCAATAGACGTGATTCACGCGGTCTGTCAAACAAGAAATGACGTAACGCGCGCGTGGGAAGTTAATAAATTTTTTCCCCATAAATGTTTCTCTAAATGTATCCTCCCGCGCGAGATTAAAACGGTTCGTCAAATGAAAATTGCAATCGCGGAGTAGACTGCTCCATTTAATTTGTTTCGCATAATTACGCCTCTGCTACTGCAAAGTAACAATAAGGGGATTCTTTCTCTTTCATTAGTCGGAATCTTCTTTTTCTCTCGTACGTCAAGAAATTGTTGTGAATTATAAAAAAATGGAATTAACCGTGAGAGTGGTCTGGTCTAGCCACTTGCGCGATCGATCGTTCATTCTTGGCTACAACACGTGTCAATCACGCGTTCGCTTGTTTGATTGAACGAAAAATCAAATACGATTCTTTCTCCTCGATATATTTACAATATTTATCGAGGACTCGCGGTATTTACAGTTGTCATGAAATTTATTCAAAAGAAAGGGAATAGACCTAAACGGGCGTGCAGATCGGTGTTTTCGATATTATCTTCAATATAAAACAACTTTATCGTAATGGTTCTGCACATTATATTATACTCTTATTACCGCACTACTTTTTATTGCGTGATAAAAATGTGCGATAATTCATATATCATGTAGGGTTGCGGGCAGTATTATAGATAGCCGGGAGTATTATAGATAGATATCTACAGCCTTCGTAACTAGTTGTAAAACATGTTCTGTAACATCGGTGGAATATTACCGAGCGGTTATAGAGGTGACGGTTTATGCTGGTCCACCGGTAGATTGAGAATACATACGGAAATACGTCCGCGCGCCGCGAAAGGTCTTTGCGCTGAATAATTTAAAACCAGGTGATCGATTCTCAGGTGAGCCGCAGAGACGCGACAAAACTATGTTCCAGTCGACCTCATTTAAGATTCGATCGAAACCGCACAATTATACTGCATAATATTGATGGAAATTTTCTCTGATGTTACGAATCTGGAATTATTTACTTATATCTATTTATAAACTTGTAAGTTTCCGTAAAAAGAGGCTATAACAGAGAATTTTTTACTTGGAGACTCTCGAAAAACTTTAGAAGAATTTTCATCTGCCTCTATTCTTTTTTATCAAGACATCTTCAACTTAATTCTAGTATAAGAATTATTTTGTAGTTTTACTAAAAAAATACAAAGACATGTGAAGCAATTATTGCAGAAATCGCCCGTATTTTTCCGTGCCGATCGATACGAAAAATTGATGTTGACACGATTCGAGTTGCGTGATTCCGTGCGAATGATAGGCGAGAGTCCGACGCGTGTGTGTATTATACATTGGTGGAAAACCGCATAAAACGGAGGCGCCACACCGTCTAAGCCTGGCGCTCGATAAAATTACGTTGCGAACACCGTAAGCCTCATTTTCATTACACTCCCTCGCTCGCGTTTTTGTCAGCGTTTTCTCTCTCTTCTCTTATTGTCGTCTCTTTCCATTCCGGTTAAACTGCCACATGTTGCGAAGGTCGTTAACGAAACAATATCGCGGCAGTTACATTTTATGTAACAAAGAAAAAAAAAACTGATTCGTGAAAACAAAATTCTGTATAAAAATATCGTTTGTAACAATCGATAGATCGGACGAGCCTCGGGTACAAAATTTTCATAATGTCAACATTGTAGAAAATTCCGAAAAGGGAATTACACGTTGTACTACATTCACGTTTGCGCGGGAAATGAAATATTTTATGTGGTTCTTGGAGAAAACGTATAGTTCGATATTAGAGGAGACACGTAAAAGTTTACGACTGATATACCAGCTGCCTTTTATAACGGTCGCCGGAAATTGTTTCCAGCATTGATCCACAAGACGTAAAACACCAGTACATCGTTACAAATAATGATCATGTAATAGTTTCTGTGTTTTTTTTTAGATTTCAATCGAAAAAACGCGGAAAATAAAGACACAGTTACACCGCGCTAGGTATTGTCGATCATTTTATGGAGCGCATGTGGAAACGGATGATTGTCGACCTAGTTTCGTTACATCTAGAGCTCTTAGGAATTCCTTTGCCATCACACCCGCGACGCATATACATATAATCTACATCAGATGAGTGCAGCTGGGAATTATTCTCCTTCGTACTTTAACACTTTATTTTAACTTACTTTATTCTTGGCGATTTTATTATGGTTCCTCATAGTATGCTCGACTATTTTTGAAGTTTTCTTAAGAAAACGATTAACTTTTAACTCCTTATCATCTTAGCCTTAATAGAGAATGAAAGTTTTGAAACAATGTAATTGAATTCAGCTTAACAACTTTTATATAAATGAATAAACCTTGAATTTTTTTAAATAAAGAGAAACAAAGAGGTACAAAGAAAATGACCCACTCAAGCGTTCGTATTTTAACATTCTCCAGCTCGCATCGTCGTCCGACGACTCGCGAAAAATTTCGAAAAATCGCGACCAGTTGATCCGAATTGGTCGGAACCCGCCATCTCTGGAGATCATCCTGCATCATTCTCCCCTTAGACGTCTTCGTGGTACATGACGTCAATTGCGGTAACGTGCACGGCACCGTTGCAGTTCGGCGACGCGCAGTCGCGCGGCACCGCGATCAATGCGCGTCTCCGCGCGAGGGGTACCCCGTCGACGCACATTACACGAGGGACGGAACATGCGCGCGGGTAGACTCGTCCTGCGGTAAAAAGGAGAGTTCTCACGCGCGTGGAAACCTCTGACGTGGAATGCCGATGGTGCGAACGCGCGCTCGAATTTTTGCGTGGGGCGGGATTCGATGAATTCGCGATTCTGCGAAACGTAACGTAAAACTCGGAGGTGACAAGCTGAGTCAACGGCTTCGTGTGTTTGTGATGTGACACGAAATGTTGCGACGACCGTTCGTCGCGACGCGCTAATTCCGCGCGATGTACGAAGCCAGTGCAGGCGAGGAATATCAATCGCTTAATTTTTGGTGGTTGAAACGATCGACAGTCCACTCTGTGTTTGATAAAACTGTCTTCGTCAAAAAGTAATTAGCGTTTCCTGTTCAGAAACGAGTGTTGTGGGACTTATCGATAAGAGTGCAGTTACATAACAGCTCCCATGACAATAATGATATGCACAATTTGAAGATTTTTATTCGACATATCTTATCAGGATGTTAGATAACTCAAGAGTGAGCTTTCGCCGCTACATATGTTAACAAGATTGTTAGAGAGAGAAAGACCTTCGATTGATTTATGAACTCTAAGCAGTTGTTAAATCATCGTCGAGTCTCCTTCGATCTATTCGAGCGAATATAAACAGCGCGTTTATTCAGCGAACGCTAGTTACGCTTTTGCCTGCGTAAGATGAACAGGTGCACGTAGACAATCGATTGGCGAGCGATCAATCCAATCGGAGCAGGATGCCGAAACCAGTTCCGGTGGAGAATCTGGTGATACCGCCGCAGGATGGCCGCATCTGCGGCACGATCTGCATCTGCCAGATGACGATGGTACTGTCCTCGGTCGCGTTGGTGTATCTGACGGTCGCGATCTATATGCCCAGCGGACGGGCGTTCTCATCGGGCATCAGCGAGGTGCCCGTGATGTGCACGACGATTCGAGCGGCGAACGTCGACAATTGTGAGTGGGGCAGCTGCGGCGAATGGTGCCTGTCCAAGACCTCCGGGCCTTGCGTGCAGATCCACGTGAATCTACGCAGAAACGGATCCACGATTCTGCTGGCGAACTGTACGAACACGACGAATAAGACGTGCTACGGTATCGATCAGGAGAACGCGAAGAAGGCGAAGTGCATCGCGGACGAGTGTCGCAATCTGACCGGCACGTTCAACTGCTCCGCGGGCGTCTGCATCAACATCACCGACGCCTTCGAGTGCATGTTCCACGACACGGACCCGCCCCTCAAGTGCTCCGGTCGTCGCGGCAAGATCACCTGCATAGACATTGACGGCCTGTTCAATTGTAACCGCGGTACCTGCGAGCGCATACGCACCCCGTATAACTGCGATCGCAGGTGCGTCGACATCCCGACCAGGAACAAGAATATGATCCTCCTCAGCGGCGACAAGGTGTACCTGAGCCAGTGCGAGCGAGCTATAGACGTGGTGACCAATCGCGAGATCTGGCATGAGGATCGTGGCGACATCATGATGGCCTCCTGCTACGGGATCTTTAACTCCACGTTGGGCGTGGAGGCGGTGGACTGCATCAACGGCTCCGTGCTGGAGAAAGATCTGCTGACCGATCTAACGAATTTCACGTACCTGTCCTACCTGAATATATTCGCCACGAAACCGCTGGACAAAGACAACTTAGTCGCGCCGCCGGAGCAGAGCCTGATCATCGCCAACGAGAGTAAACTGTTGATCAACCTCGAAGGATGCGTGAACACGCTTCGGGACGAGTGCAAAGATTTCCTACACGAGTACGGGAAGGACGGGTCCGACCATAACGCGCGTGCTAGGTTCCCGTGTTACTACGCCGAGGCTAACACAAACGTCGTCGTGTCACGGTTCAATCTACAAACGACCTATAAAGAGTTCTTGATCGCGCTAGTGCTGCCGAGTATTCTGTTTGTCGTCAGCTGTCTGACTCTGATCTTCTGTCAGAGGAGTGTCGTCGTCGGGGACGACGCTAAAATGAGGTTCAAGGGGCCCGGCACGCTGGTCTCGATAGAGAGGAGCGCGTCGGGCAATTTAGGGGATGCTGGCGGAGGAGACTCCGTTATGGCGCTCTGAGATCCGTCACGTAAGACATGCTTTCGGCAGAAAATTGTTGCGTTCTGAGGCATGGTGTTAATTAGTTACATCGCCCTACTCACCCCTTTCACATTACAAGTGATGTTTAATTCGATTCCTCCTCGATTTGTAGTTTACACAAACATTTTTTTATAAATTAATTTTATGTATTCTTAGAGATCATCCAACTTCAATAATATACTCAATTATCCAAAATCATATCTCCTTCTCTCTCCTCTCTCTCTCTCTCTCCTCTCATTCGATTTCAATCGATCATTTCACGCGATTGTTGTAGTAATAATAACTTTTATACCTAATAATTCTTGTCATTGTGCGAATTTCTTAGTCTATATCTATCCACAATTCTAATCTAAACCATAATTTAAATGGCATGGCATGGAGATACTGTAATTTTAATAAAATTAGACCTAAAATAATATATATGTGAATTGAATTATTTTTCCACGCTGCATTACTCTCTAAAATATTTTCTTTTTATTCCATCAAAGAAAGATAAACACTTTCTTTTGGACAAGTGTAGAGTACATCAAGATAAAAGACATTTTTTTTTAATACAAATGTTAAAGAGATTAAAACAGCAAACGCATTCAATGTTCACGTAATTCAAAACATATTTAAACATATTCTAAATAAAATATGCTATCATAATTATAAAAAATATATGCGTGCGAGAAAAAAATTTTAAACAAATATTTTATAATATTAAGAGCAATTTAAAAATATGCATTTCAAATTTTAATTGAGTTTTTATTTGTAAATAAGAAAACTATCTTTAAAGAGAAACATCAACAATATGCCCAGGGTATGTGTATATATCGTGATATAAGAATAAAATTTATTCTCTTTAGAAATATCAACGCATTAAAGATGTAGTTGTTTATGTTGCTAGAAAAACAACGAAATATTACTTTCTCATTTCGCAGATTACAAATTCGATCAACATTATTACGATTAATTAAAAATATCGCATGAAATGTAAACAATTGTCTTATTTGGCTATTTTAGAAGGATATTTAAATAACTTTTAAACAGATATATCATTCAATTAAACCTGCATTAGAACAGATGTAAGAAGCTGTTATTTATTTTGAGCTATTCTACGAAGTCCAAAGTTCATTAAAATCATAAAGAGAAATCCGCGAGCGCTATTACCGTTAGACAATTAGAATCACTTTTAATAATGTTGCAATACAGATTTTAATGTTGTGTTAACAGGCATTCCCCTCCTGGAGGAGAGTCCGGCTCGTCAGTCGATATTCTCCCTGCGCGGGCATTACTGAGGTGTGGGGAGGGGGGGAACGCGTGATAAAAAAATTCTCATCTTGCAATTTAACAAAACAAAAAAAGCAACACGTACACATTCCTGCAAAAGAATCAAGAAAAGGAAGCGAGAGAGGGCGGTCAGACAACAAAGAGAGATCAAGAATAATTTATCTACTCGCACTGCCTGCACTAAATATTTGAAAGACCGCACACACGCATGCTTATGCGACACGAGCAGGTGCTGTCGCGATACCGAACGTAATAATTCCGCAAATTCCGAACGATTCACTCGTTCAGGAGGAAATAACAGTTCAAGAGAGAAGATTTACTCGATTCTGGTGTTTTTTCACTACGTAACATTCGTAGCTCTTAAGAGGTTCCCCTTTTCTGATTGATTTGCCGCGACCAATAGCTAAAAGTTTAACAGCCAAGAGGCGCGCCTTGCCGATGGATGATCGACTCGAGACGAGCTCTCGATAAACCTGCTTACTTAACGAGTTCATCGTAACCGCCAGAAGCGCGAACGACGACGCGAGCAACCTAGAGCAATATCGACGGAAGTCGGCCTACTCAAGCTCGAAGATCTCTTCACCTCAAGAAGCTTCATATTCAAAACTTAGAATTATTCAAATTAATCGCGATTCTATATTCCTATTCGAAATCTAAAAAATCGATTCTTGAATAATTGTTACTCGATTATCTTCGTCATGTTATATATCTTGTCCAATTTCGCAAGTTTTTATATTAATTGGTAAATAAATCAAGTTTTCATCAAAATCGCAGACCGCTTAATCACAGCCTGCATTGTAGATATATTTTATTCCTCGTTCGAGAAAAACTATTTCCTCTTTCGCTGCAGCCATCGGACAAGAAAGGAGGATCGAGGGTGTCGTAAGTGGACCACAAGCACGTTTTTCTTCGGTCGAGCCGCGAGAATCGTGGCTGTTCGCATCTTCTGTCCGAGACACTTTTAAGTAAATCACGAGTAGGGTCCGCGTGGCCCGCAAAAAGCCGCAATCATTGAGTCTGAAGAATCGACGGTGATAATGGGCGTCCAGGTGGAGGAGTCCAAGATCGGCGCCATGATCGAGAAGGCCAAGTTTTACACTTCCGTCTGTCTGGGCACCACGGCGATCGTCGCGGTCTTCGCCTTCCTATTTCTGATCCCGTTCGTCGTCGAGCCGGCGATAACCACCATTCTGGCGGATTTCTCGCCGCATGCGGTCGCCTGCGTCACGACGGAGCACGTGTATGCGGAGGGATTGAAGAACTGTTCGTGGGCAAGCTGCAGGGAAGGTGAATCCTCGATAGTTTTCGTAATTTCGCGTTTAGCAACATCGTCCGAATGTAATCGTAATTAATGTAATCGATGATATCGTTATTGACGTCATAGGTTGTACCAGCGCCGCACTTCGTTGTCATCAAATCAAAGTCAACTACACCAGGCTCCCGTACGAGGAGTTCATGGCGAAGCCGTTGGGTTCAGTGCCATGGGACGTCGCCGACACCAAATTCTTCGTGAACACAGAAGGATGCGGTTATCCGCCCACAGTCAACTGTTCTGTTTTCGCGAAGAAATACGCCTACGAGAATTTGGGGAAGATATTTCCCTGTTACTACAGTAGAACGCATCCGGAGACAGTTGTCGCAAGGTACGATCGGTGAGGTGATGTACGGACTCGTCAACACGTGAAACCTTTAACGCAAAGTGTAGTGCTATATCCTGCTTTCTCGCATAAAACACAGACGTCACTTTTATTTAAGAGGATCATGTCGGTTTGCACAACCGTCTATTTCTGATTAGCAGAGAGCATAGCCCGCTATCTTGTATCCGCAGATATTCGTGGGATGAGAATCTGAGGCATTTGGTGTTGGCTATAATCGTGCCCGTAGCGCTGTTCGTCGCGACGCTCGGCGTGCTGTGCTACTGGTATTGCCCGCCGGTGAGCAAGACCTGCTCCGGATCGAGTCGCAATCTCATGGACAAGTATGCTAGAAAGGAAGAGTAAGTGTATGTATGCAGTGCGCCCAATGTGAGCTAGCAGAAAGACTGTATATTCTACGGAATTACTTTGAAGTCACCATAGGATCGTTACGATTGTCGAGGAAAATACTCAGCAATTAAATATTGTAAATAAAAAATGGAACGTTGAACTCGTTATTTAAATTGTATCACATATATTTTTTTTCATTTCTGGCTCGCAGACATTAGGTATACAATTTGCGGGACTTAAATTGTCAAAGTAATTCCTCCATTTCATCCTGTAACTTTCATATCATTTTTCTTTCCTTTTTATGTCTGTAATTTTATGGCTTCTTTTCTTCCTTGCAGCATCTTGGCAGAAGACGAGTTCGAGGAAGACGAAGAGGAATACTGACTGCTACCAAGGGCTCACCCCCCGGCACGGGAGTGATCCCAAAACAATCTCCGAATGGCTCCAGCGTACTTTACTTTCTAAATTTAAGCGATCGAGCAATAGCGCTTAGGAAAAATTCAGGAAATGCTGCAGGAAAACGGATATATCGTTATCGCTTTTTATCGGATTTGCTCAGACGAAGCCTTACAATTATGCTACATCCGAGTTTTTTGTCCTCTAAATCTGATTCGCGCTTTCAATAAATGGAACATACGCCTAGATTTATATACTAGCGACGTAAAAAAAAATTTTTCTCTCTTTATCTCGTCTATTCGATATTTTAATTACACTCCCGAGATTAGCTACGTGCACTTATTCGAAAGAAATGTAACGTCAGATTTATTGGACGGATCAGCAATCCGAAGAATTTGCTTGCGCGAAGAATATACCTTAAATTTACGATGTAAAGTGAGCCGTATGAATATGAGAACTCGGACTTTTCCGTTTATCGATCAGTATTCCATGCGAATTTCGAGAGAATGTGATTCGAAACATGCGGTAATGCCAGAACATAATATTATGCATTAACGAAACGCTATGCGGCACATTAATAACACAAATTAATTCAATTAATACATTGGATGCTAATACGATACGTTGACGCTCGCTGAATAATTATTCACTAGCGTAGTTGCACATTCTAAAATCTTGTATAGAGATTAATTACGGAAGTGAGTAATTTGAAATGAAGCAATTATACGAAATAATAATTACGATGGACTTCCGTGTGTTTCGAGCTCAATCGTGATAAAGGCGCGCCTTCCTACTTACGTGATAAAAGTTTAAGCAGTAATGATATATAGTTTTTAAACGGCACAGATTAGGTTTTGCAGCAGCATCGGGTTTAGATTAAGCTACGTAGCCGTGACTTTATGTCACATAAGCTGCCCCTCGTGACGATAAGTCGATAGTCAAGTATCGATGAAAGCAGGACGAGCCCGTTGCTCGACGCTACACGGAAGGAACAATTTTGCTGAATTCAGATCTGAAAATAATTTTTGTTCAATAATCAAAATAATTTTGTGCAAAAGTCAAAGTAATTGCTAGAATATCAAAACGTTTTATAGCAATGCTTATCAGTTTTAACATTCCAACAAATTATTTTGATGATTCAACAAAAAAATTATTTTCAGATCTGTTTTTAGCAAAATCTTTAGATCTTTTAACAAAATCATTCTTTCCGTGTAGGCGCAATATCTTCAACTCTTTGTCGAGCTGAAGAAACAGACTTCAACGCGGACTCCTAATAGGCTAATCGCGTTACTCGCTACACCAAATCACATGGTTTTTCAAAAACCGCGACTATTTTGAAACCGTTAATGTTCCATTCATGTCTCCTATTATAATTACTTTTTTCGATTATAAATAGATCGAGCTGCTTTCGTATACTTTTTAGTTCTCTGTTGCAGGGCTATATAAAAAAAGAAAAGATTTTCATCTCGTAAAAGTAAAATAAAATTGTAATTACGTCACATTCTGTAGAAATTCAATCGGGAGGAAAGCGATCCGTAAATATTATTACTGGTATTGAAAAGCGTACAAAGGCATTAATGTATTAAATGAAACTTACGAAAGTGCTTTATGAAGAAAGAAGTGAAGCAAGTGACGCGGTTTGCTTTCAAAAATCCGCTTCCGCACCAAGTAACGTAGGTTAAGCCTAGGCTGTAAGTTAAGCCTGTGAATATTATACTGTTCGTAATTCTATCGAAGTCGATATAAGAGTTGTTACGAATTTTGTACGCGGACGCAAGTCACGTCGTGGATTCTATATAGTCAAAGAGAAGATATATTATATATATATACGAATATACGCATAAAACGCACGTGAACGCTGGTACGCATTGTGCGCATAGTTATAGGTATAGATATAACGATATAAGTTACAATGATGTTAAGTTGGATTTTTTGCAGGGACACATGCGAACTACATTCCGTAAGCTACGAAACGACATCGTATATTTTATTAAATACTCGCTCAACAATAACGTTTATTCTATCAAACGTAATTGCTAAGCTTTGCAAATAAAATAGTGCAGATAATAATTTATTAGTAACTTTAACCGAGGATGTCATTGAGATAAAACGGAAAAGTGCATAAAATGATTTTCAGATATGTATATTAAATTAAATAATTTGAATGTTTCATCATAATTCGGAACGAAGAAATTGTTATGATTGCAATATTAATTAGTTTATATCTCTCAAAATTGGTTTTGTCAGTCGACAATTAAGTTTGTAATCACTTGAAGAATGGAAAGGCAGGAAAGCGCGTAAAAGGATTTTCAAATATGAATTAAATAATTTGAATATGGAATGAATTATGAACGAATGATGAAATTGTGGCGATAATATTAGTCAGTTTACATCTCTCAAAATGTTTTTGTCCGTCGGTAATTTTGTTCTGCGCTTTGTAATTACTTGAACGTCACACTTGATTAAACCTGGTTTAAATAACGTTTGTTTCGAAGCGTATGGAAACCATGTCGTAACCCTCTACATCTAGTATGGTTGTGAATCCTTACTCGGCCTTACTCTAGGTGTCCAGAATGGAAGAGCTCCTATGAGGTAGCAACTTCCCCGTGGACCCTACGTTTTGGCACTCATTCCCCACTTGAAGCTTGCTAGTCTAGTTTCCGATCGATCGCGCGATCGTCTCCGAATCGCGAATATTCGTCGATTTCTCGTGATTACATTGTATAACTACACGATTTCGTCCGACTTGATAATATCTCGCCGCTACTTTTTGTCAGACAAGCTAGTTAAACTTTAAATGACAATTTAAAAAAAATTTAAATACGATAATTTACATGATGATACGATATTTAAGAATAATCAAAATTAGAAAATCGGATAAGTATTAATTTGAAACACCATTAGAGCATCGAATTATATAAATCGAGGAGTTCCTCTACTTCTCTCTTCTCTTGCACTCTTTTTCGCGAGAACATTTGCTCAAGACGCTCACAATATCGACGGCGCAAATTGAAATTCGCATACGCTTTCCAAGCCGCAAAAGTTCACATCTAGTTCGTCATCGAAACCATCGCAAGAAAATTGTCATCTTCAGTTAGAATTAATACTCTTATGTGATATCAAAAGCTTTCAAGCGTAACACCAAGAAAGCTCTACGCGGACAATCCAGGAGCGGTGTAACTCGCGCATAGGCACAATTTTCGCATTACGTATCGGTTCTAGTGCCAATTGAATTTGCTAACTCGACTAGCCGGTCGCAATCGTCGTAGGCAGCATACTTAGAGCATCGATCGTGAGAAGTTTATATATTAGAAACTGGGGATCTCAAGTGAATAACTTTTTTCGCTGAGTTACAGTAATTTTGTTCTGTAACGAACTATGATATCGTTAGCATTTTTTAAATTCTCCAGTATTCGGATGATTTTTAAATCCAATTTTGTTTTAGACAAAAATCATGAGAATTAAATATTAATAGCGTATTATAATGTTTAGAGAGAGTAGAGTACAATAAAAAAATTGATAATATATGCTCAACACATAAAAGAGCAAAATATGTTTAATTTAACACAGTCTTGAAAGATTAATTAGGAAATACCTATATTAATCAAGGAAAAATTTAAGATACAATATTTTCTTGAGATCCCCCTTTAGATAGGTGAACAAATTCTAGTATAAATTTAAATAATTTATACGCAAGGGTGATGTAGAATAAATAATTGAAGCGGTTTTAACTGACAATGAGTAACCTAATGGAGCACGATTGATAATAAACGAGGTATTTGCGAATTCTATTTCCATACATACACACGATTTAGCTGTCATATTGGATTGGAAAAATCAATAGTATCGTTTGTCTTCGATAAACGAGCATTATTCGATAGTTAACTTTACATATTGTATGCCCCCTCGTAATGTTACTTGTGGTTGCTATAATAATACTCGCACTTACTATAGCCGGATATTTATCATGCCGACATCATTTCCCTCTCTCTTTTTCTCGCCTCTTTCTCTATATATATAAAGTCTATGATATAAATGAGGAAATACCTCTTCGAGACGCTTCCTTTCTCTCTACTCGAAAGTTTTCAACTCGTCCACCGCTACTTACATGAATCATAAATACTGTACATAATATATACATACGGTGTGTATATATACATATAAACCACATACTCGCTCTGCGATACAAACGGACTATTGTATATAAGAGATTGTACGAGTTCGTTTAAAATATATATAAAGAACGTTTTCTGTTAATTCCCTATATATCATTTTTCCCAGTTCCATATTTCCTACACATTTCTCGAAATACCTTAAGTAAATTTTAATTTTAAGTGAATAAATCAACCTATAAATAAATCTAATATAGAAATAGTAAATCTAATATAGAAAAGAAAATTATATATATAAAAATAAGTTTTATATTAACGGTTGACCCATATAATTTTCTATTGATATTTTAAAAGATTGATTTTTTAAAAGTAATAGCTTTACAAAATGAAAATTTGTAATACTTTTTAGCCTATCAATGAGATATTTTGATAATAAAATTCAAACGTGTTGCATCTATCGAGCTTCAACTGTGATGTTACATAAAAAAAATCTATCTTCACATGCATTATGCGAAGATTACATAGCATTAAACGAAGACATTTGACCTTTTGCTCTGAAGGTCGTAGAAATGTTAATCCATCGGAAACTAACACTCCACCCTATCGAGGGGATGAATCTAAATCGATAAAACAGATATCAACTGACTATGCGTTTCATGAAACACTTTTACTTATAATTTGTAATGCACAGATGAGTAAATTGTCTTATATTTCATAATGCAAAACTGCCTGCATATTTCATTTGCTGATTCCTCCGCAAATATAATTAAGATTACAAAACAAAGATAACGAATTAAATTGATACTATAGAATCGAGATATTCATCTTCTGCGCCACTATCCATTAAATAAATACATATCAATATATTATATTATAATCGTTAATTCATCGCGATAATAAAAAATATATGCATCATTTTTTTCTGGCTTTGAAATCAGAAACTTATGCAGCTATAAAAGAATGTAAATGAGTTATCCGCAAAAGGATATCCGAATTTAAAAATACATTAAATTACTTTTAAAAATAATTATTAGCAAGAATAAATTGTTCATTAATATTCAATAAAAAAAAAAACTAACCCGTTTATAAATTCAGAAAGAGATGAACAATCTGTTGTATTTTCTAACTTTTGGAGAGCTATATCTCGACGTACCAGAAATTTCTCGATTTATCCTGGCAACCACAGGATGAGATAAAGTCTATGAACTGCGGGTCGTTTCACTCAGGCACTCCACCATGGAGGAGAATCCCACCCCCATGAAAAGCGCGATATAACCACGGCGCAAGCTCCGTGCGAGAGAACTCGCGAGCCGCACGGTCGAGTGGTAGACTTGTTTTCAAATAGTCGTCGGAGCTAGTCGGAGCGGTTGCATGGCTACCTCGCGCGTGTTCGCGTGATCGCAAATCTTTTCCATCTCTTTTGAAAAGGATGAAAAGGTCGCGTCGAGGTAACAATGATTTTGCGAATCGCGGACGGAAATGATCGCGGGATCGCTGCTCGGCATTGATGATCCAACGAGGGACACGTACCGATCGCGTGTGAAATTAATTCCCGTGACTAAATGACGCGGTTTTTCTCGTAATCAAGTGTCACTTGTGCTGGTGTAAGTTAGTGACGAAGTGTATAAATTTTCAATAAAGTATGAAACGGGAATGATAAAAACAGTGAGTTATTGCGCCGATAGTGAATCGCAAGAAAGGTGTGAAGATCCAGTCCTTTCAATTACGATCCGAAAAATTCATCGCCAAAATTTCGAGATGCAAGAAATTTTTTAGAAAATTTGTAGGAAGACTTGCTATACAACGACATATATAATCGTCTAATTGTATCATTGCGGATTTTATCATTCGCAAATATTCAAAATACAAATCGTCGGACTCCTCAAAGGAATTATTGTCTTCTTGAAGAGAGAGCAATTATTTACAATGGCTGCTTAAAATCGATGATCGTACGAAAAAAAATTCATCTAAAAGGGCACTTGATACTCATGAAAAGTTGAGACACGCAATCAGCTTAAAAGTAAAGCGGCTTCGATTTTATCGGAGACTCGCTGCGAACGAGTAGTAAATACTCGCTTTAGTCAGACAACGAATATCGAGAATATAAAAAATATTCTGCAGTTGTAGTTCTTTTTTTTTAAGGATTGAGATTGATACGTAATCCTGATGTGAGAATCTAATCGTGTCTCTCGCTGTGTCTGTAGCTTTAGTCTCAAATAAAGAAACCGACAGAAAAAGTATAACAAATTTTATAAAAAAACAAATTAGATATAATGAAATAATGCACGCAATTTAAGGACGATCGACGGAATCAGATAACGTTTATGGCACTAATGTTCCAAGAATAAGAATCCCAATGGTATTATGGGCAAGATAATCGCTTATTTCAAGGTTACTCGCAAGTGGAACAACCATTAGGGACTTCGTCGTGGATGTCCCTCAGAGAAGCGTCTCTCTAACATCGAGATCGATTTTCCTGCTATAAAAAACGTAAGAACATACTACTTCCCGTTTCCCGTTTAAATAATAACGTTGACATTGCCCTAATTAAATACCCAAATGGATGAGACTACCCAGTGGAAGAAAATTTTGCGTGACGAGAAAAGTGTCGATTGTAAAAATTTGTTAGTGCGTCAATCTGTTAACAATACAACAGTTTTTTAATTTTAAATCATCACCAGCGAGGCCACGGTGTGAAGAAACGACAGGAACAAATTTTAACGTCACTTCCGACCGGTAATGGTGGCCCAGAAATCCGGATCAATAGCGCAATTTTTAAATGGTCGTTTAAAACTGAACGCCCATTCAACAGTTCGCGGTAATGGGATTACCAATATTTAATTCTACCCTGTCCTACGTAGAGCACTCGCTCGCAACTACGACTAATGAAGTTAACACGTGGTAATTGCCCTAAGTGCATCGGACAGATCGGACACGTCTAACGAAAGAACGGCAAGGGGAGAGAGTCCGTGGCGCGTAAACACGGGAAGGAGACCTCTTCGCTATTACGCTCTTCACTGTTGCTCTACGCTCTTCACGATCTATTGACGAATGGCCGATCACGCTAGCTTAAATTCCGATCCAAAAAATGGAGCAACCCTCCCGCGATTCAGCGGAACGGTGAATCACGTGCCTCAATGACTCACTCGCGTGACACACTTGGAACTTACTACGAATCTTCAGTACACTTCTGTTGAATTATTAACGTTAATCGAAAGTAATTAACTTCCAAGAAGAAGGAAGGGAAGAAGGAGAGAGGAAGTAATTATGAATTATTCATAGGCTTTAAAGAGTAAGCCGATTGGTGATCTTTGAATGCTCTCCTCACTCGCCGATTTTCATCGCTGGAGAAAATAAGAGATTCAAAGCCTAAGAATCATCTCTCGCGTCTTTCAACGAAATGGTATGACGTATCGTCGCGCGTGTTCGTGCCCATAAGAGAATGGTAGCTATAGCGAAATCATCTAATCGATGGAAGTCGTGACACACACACCCGCACGTACACACGCACGCACTTGTCGACCGACTTTACGAACTTCTACTTTTCAAACGGAAATAGTATGCGAACGAAGATTCGCAACGAAATATTTCGCCCGCGCACGTGTGCGGATAGTATTGCGAAAGTGAAAATGGAGCTGTTGCGAGCGATCGATTCTTAGCGCGGAGCGAGTACGATTCGTTGATTTCTTGGATTTAATGTTTTTTTCTCTCTCTGTCTCTCCTTTTCGTGCGAAATGGCGATTAAACTTTTTACGGGGCTGCTATAGCCGTTCGCTTTACGACTAATGAAATTGTCGACATAAAGTCGCTTGTTTTTTTACGTCACATGTTCCGAGAGGAAATAGATGTAATATGCACAAGTTTATGGAAACGAAGTATCAAACTCGGACAGAAATAATTTTCAAACGGTAAGAGAATAAAGGTCAAAACTCCAAACGAGAAAGAGTGAAATAATTTTTCAATAAGTTCGTGCTGGAATTACCAATCCCCTGGATCACGTTTGTTTACGAATACATACATAAATGCATTTATAATCGGCGTGGAATGAGAATCTGTGAGATTTATATATAAACTGGATTTAAACTGGAAAAATATTCAACGGAAGATTTCGAAAACATATATAGGCATTACATATAGGATAGTAAAACATCACGCGATGGGCCGAAAGCAGAAGCGCCGCCTGATACCGGAGCAGGACCGTAGGATTTGCGGTAGCATATGCTTCTTCCAGTTCACCTTCGTCATCAGTTGCGTGGCCTTGGTTTATCTCAGTGTAGCGATCTACGCGCCGTCGTATAGGTAAAAAAAATGACATAATTTATAAGAATTAACTGATTTCCGGGATGTATATAAATAGTTTCCATTTCTTCGAGTATGCTGTAACTGGTAGACTATTAGCTTAGTTCTATATCCAAAGAATTTGTACCATCTCGAAGTCTCCTCGCGATGAAGAATGATGCGTTGTTTAACATGTAACGTTATATTAAGAAGAAATTACTATCAGAGACGGCGCTATTCAACTCGGAAATATTGCTCGTGACAAGGGGAGATGTCCGCCGCTTGTTTCGGAGTAATACGAGAGGCGCGCTAACGACGTCGACGTAATTTCAGAGCTTTCCACATTGGCATCGAGCCGGAGCCGGTGATGTGCCAAACCGTTAATGCCTCGATGGTGAATAATTGCGGCTGGACGAGTTGCGGCGAATGGTGTCTAACGAAGACGAGCGGCTTTTGTCAACAGTTTCACGCGACCGTGAGACGTAATGGTACCGACGTGATTTTCGAAAATTGCACCAAGTTCGATACGATCGCGTGTCCTCAGGTGCGTAAATACAGACGTAAGATTACGTACGTTACCATAGTTTTCCTTGCACGAAAGCTAATTTTGCTATAAGTTAAATGTTATTCGAACGCGACCTATTTGGAAAGAGAACTCCCGATACTATATACACAGATATATAACAAGTACCATAAATTATGGATAAAGCTATGGAATTTATGAACTGTTAAAAATTTAATTTTTTTTTTTAATACAGAATGTAAAACAATATTTTATTTTTAAAATATTTATATGAATTGCATTTAAAATACAAGAACAAAAATTTATATAGAATCTGGTTTTATTTTATTTTTTATGAAAAGAAATGGGAAACATTGTGTTAAAAAGAATTTTTCAATTTGTTTATATATTAATTCAACCATGATTAATTTATAAATTTAAATTAGTAATCTGATTTTTAGTAGAAGTATTAAGAAAAACGTATAAAGCTTCGTTTGAAATTAACAAAGCAACGAGAGAGAATGCCGTTAACGAGCTCGGCATAATCTCGGCAAGTTGGGAACATCCACGGTGTAAGATCTGATATTAAAATTTTATGATGTGGTTTCGCGCTCAATACTCTCTCGTTAGACACGAACAGTTACAATCTCGTATAATTACCCAATCAACTCGGAGATCTTTAGTAAAGCTTTCTCGGTGAAGACAATAACAAGCTTCGCTCGCACACTCCACTGGCCACTTTCGCCATAATCTTCCAGTCTAAGCTTCTTCCAGTTGACGTAGTATGAAAGTTCTTCTGGAATGGCGAGGGACGTACGTTTACCCTTCGGATTCCGATCACCTTATTTCACGTTCCCAACCAAGCGCGATCGTAAGTTCCCACGCGAACGAATGCTTTCCTGGTGGGCGTAGTTTTTTCCATCTCCTGCGGGGATATTACATTTTTACTGAAGCGCAGCGTGGACTCCAATTTCTTCGCCGTGCCGCCGAACGTCGATGATGCCGGAAAAATGTTGCGAGGAAGATTCGAATTGCATTCAAATAAAATGTAACAAGATACTTTGCTATTCGAAATTCCTTTCATTGTTAATAATAGTTCCTTGAATTCACGGTATTCAAGCTCGCGACGGAAGCTCGCTTTATACGTTTAAAACGTTTGAAAAATTACTACTTAGAGATCAATTCCTTCTCCTTTAACTGTATCCTTGATAGCGTTGACCGTAATTTATTATTAAGATATAATGTCGACATTATACCGGCCACCTCGGTAAGATTATCGGAGAAAGAAGGAATGCTGCTTGGAAGGAAATATACTTGACAATCAATCAATACTTGTCAACTTTGCAATCTTCGTAGGGCTCAAAATAAGCGTCGCCCCATAATATATTAAATATATTGATAAGATATAATTTAATTTTAAAACAAGTATAATTTTATTTATAATTTACATAGTTCAGAAACTTTAACTTTTTTCAGAAAATATAACTGCATTTCATTTTTGCCTTGCTCTTCAATTTCCATCTCATCTCTGTGCACGTTCTTATCATTTCCTCTATACATATAAGTTAACGATCCATCAACCAGGGGGCATCGATTACAGTTGGGATGTTTTCAGTCCACGAGGGCAAACCTCTTGCAATATTCACGAAGAAAAAATGCCATTAAAAAATCCATTGCGTGCGATACGCGCGCAGCATCATAATGACATCCATCAGAGAAGTTTTTAAAGAAAAGCTTTCTTCTGTCACAACTTGGGAGCAAATATTAGTCGCTTTCTCGTCATTAAATGCGGTTATTTTGCGAATATTATTATGGAAGTGTTTTGATAAAAGTAAGTAGGTACTGTAGGACAAGCGTAATGACATAAACTTTCACTACCGTAGCGGTATGTTGTCACAAACAACTCACTCATTTTATCAATAATATTCGCGGATAAGACGGCTTATTTGCGGACGGTTGTTACATCCAATAAAAACTGAATAATTTTATTACGGTAAAAAAAGTGTAATATGAATACAAATTCCAAGAATCGCGTTACAGCAGTATTTTAATTAAATAATTTTAATTAAGTAATGAACTTGTCGAGTATATTCTTACTCGGAACTTAAACGCAATTAAAATGCCACAATTTCTAACCAGAAAAAGATGGGCGTTTGTGACAGCCTAAAGATTTCAAACTATTGTAAAAAAATAGCTAAAAACACCCGGTATTTACGATCGCAACCTAAAGCAAAAGTCACGAGTTGGCAGGATACGAGTTATCCCCAAGGGAGTGCCTTATGAATATGAATATTTAGGCGCACGGCAACGTGCCGTATGCCGACCGCTAATGCTTTGCCAGCAGGTTCGAAACTTTCTGAAAGTAATGGGATTTAATTAATGGCGATGATGAGAAAAAGCAATATAACTGTGTAACTAAAGTATACAGGACAGAACTTTTTATAGCTGCATTGATAATGATACCAGACAAACTTCCATAAATCATAAAGTAATTTTCCTAATGAATTAATTGAAGGGTTTACCGCAACAGTATGCTAATCCACATTTTGTAAAATCGGAGAGAATAAAAAGTAAAATAAAAGAGCTTTAGCACTCATCCATTTCTACGTTCGTATCATATGATCGCTTATATTATGGGTTAGCCGACCGTTGCGGTAAATCCTTCAACTAGCTGTCCTAATTTAATAACAGTATTCTTATATTTTTGAAACATTCTATTAAAATGAAATAATATCATAACAGAATTACGGATACAAACATCGAAACAAAAAATGTTATTTAATTCTTCCGTAACGACAGATTAAGATCACAATTTCATTGATATTACATAGCTTTAGCATATCAATAAATGATGTGTAGTTTTGACATTTAATTAATGAGATTAAATAAGAATTTACAAAACACGAGAAACGTCGATAGGTGAACATGGCGAGCATGAAACGGTACAATTGCAACAACGGCAGCGAGTGCAGCATGTTGACGGGGGTGTTCAACTGCAGCCTCGGACATTGCTCGAACATGAGCGAACTGATGCTCTGTCATCACAAGGCCGACGGCATTATCATCGACAGCGACAAGGATAACATGAAACTGAATGGCTTCTTCAGCTGTCAACACTCCAGATGTACGAAAATCAAGAACGTCTTCACCTGCGACCGATACTGCCCGAGCATTACCACCAGCGACGTTAACGTGTATCTAATGCAGGATGACAGTGTCATATCAGCCAGGTGCTCCCGTGGGATGGCTCTGAACAAGGCGAACGGTAGCCTACCTGGTATCAGATTGGACGAGCCCGTTAAAATCTGGGACGAGCAGAACGGCAGTATCGTCGCGAGCTGCTTCGCCGTAACGAAGGACGGCAACGTCATTAGGTAATGACGAATGTTAATATATCATAAACTTATTGCGAATTTTCCACTCATTTAAACTTATTCCGTTAAAATCTCGTTTCGTTCATTAGTTATAAGACATAGAGTAGATTAATGAAAATGTCATTAAGAAATAAATAGAAGCATTAAGATGCGATTGTTATATGAAAAAATATATTAGTTATTTTATATAAATTGCAAATAATTATTTGCACGATGCAAATTTGGATTAATTTTTAAGATGTTACGTGTTGAATTTCTCTACTTTCTTTATCTTTAATTTTTTAGAAAGATCTTATGTCGCTGTTTACAATAAATTAGATATTAAATTCGCTGTACAGCCTTTGAATGCTTTAAATGCGCACGTAGAAAATGAGAAGAGACTCGCTGAAACGCGAGAAAATCTCGAGAATTGAATTGCCGCTGATAGATAGGCGGCACTGGAGCTTTGTTGAATGATTGAACAAAGAAAATATTTCTGTCCTTCATCCCTCAAAAAAGATTTCAAAACGTTATCATAGTTATTCAATTAGTAAAACTCGAATATTATAATATATTTTATACGCAAAACATAGGTAGATAGGATTGTTTTACACTCACCACGCAAAATGTATTTGATACACATTTATATAGGATGTTATTCAAGCACAATCGCTTTTATTGAGTTTTTTTTCAAGCTGTAAGGATTCGAAAATTTATTGAATTGTCAAGAAGTAAAAAAAAGGATAAGCATTATACCAATGACAGAGAAAAGGACTAAAATATTGGGGTGAACCCAGTCGCAGGATCAATGGTTGCTATGGAAATACCCTATACTAGCTTATAAGAAAGCGGATATAGAGACACAGGTTTATGCGATAGGCGTAATTGACCCCAATAGAGTTTGCCCAGAAAACATTTAACTTCAATTCGCGTATCCTCGCCTCGCTTATGGATATCAATTAATTAAAAATTCAAACGTGTATATATATATATATATATATATATATATATACACGTTTGAATTTTTAATATATATCTATAGCTTTTTTATTTAAAAATATACAGAAATTGCAATGCTTCATAACGCCCGTGTGAAGAACAATTATTTCTTTAAATTTTATTTATAATTATATATTTCTATCATCTTCAGCATGTTTTTTATAACTCGATAAATCGTTCGATATACGCGTTATATTGTTATACCGTCCCTGTTGACATTCGCAGCACGGAGGACTGCGTGAACGGCACGTTGCTGAGCAAGATTCCCGTTCCCGAACCGTCCATTAACTTCACGAGCTTCCTGAAAATTTACGAGAAGAGCCTGCGGCAGCCGTTGGACCCTACGAACGTCTATCTCCCGGCGCAGCAATCTTTAACGATCTACAATAGTTCGCGATTGTACATTAATCTCGAGCGTTGCGTCAACACCTTGAGGGGGGAGTGCAGACAATTTCAACTCACTCATGGTCGCGACGGCGACAATCAGACCGCGCAGAGTCGATATCCCTGCTATTACAACAAGGTAAGGCATTTTCTGTCGAGAGGGTTGGCTAATTCACGAAGATTAAATGGAATAAATTCATCATTAAGATTTCTTTTCTCATAGAATGGCGATTACGTTATTTAAATAGAAAAATATGTGTTTCGTAAAAGACATATTTGATGCACAAAATCAATTTTTAATTAAAAATTAAAATCTTTTTTTTTTTTTGTTAAAGAAAATATTGCGCTATTTCAATAATTTTTGCGCTTTTAAGCAATTTAAAAGATTAAACTTCACAAACAAGGCAAAGACAATTAAATTAATGAAGAAAAAAATGATTATATATATATGTATATAATTTTTTACGGAAAGAAATTTTAACTACCGTTGATTGTCACCCCCGGTATAATTATAAAATACTAATAAATAACTTCTGATGTGTGCAATTCTTTTAAATTATGCGAATGCGTATTACGCAGAACGACTCGTTCTTCGTGGTTGCACGCTTCGATCTGAAGAAGACGCGAATGGAGCTGTTGATCGCCGTTATCGTGCCGGCCGCGCTCTTCACCGTCAGCGTGATCACCCTGATTATCATTTCTCGATCGGTGCGGGTGGGAGACGACGCGAAGATGCGATGCAGATACTGCGTCGACAAGCAGGAGACGATCGAGAGCGAGGACGTAGGGCTCGTGGAGGCGACGACGTCCTCCGCGACACAAAGTCAGGCCAACGAGAACGAGATCAGAAGTATGACCCTTTAGCAGTACAAGCCGCTTGGCATGGGCACTGCTCTGGGTTACGAGAGGCTGCCGTTGATCGACATGGACGAGGCCGAGGATTCCTTCTAGAAGAAAACGCGATAATCCTATCCTTTTAAAGGACTCACGCGCCAAATAGATCCAACAAGAAAAATCTTGAGAAAGACAAAACTCTAATGATGAAATCCGAACAGATGGCAAAGTGGTGAGCAAAGTTAAAATTATCTCGAATGGACATTAACGTCGTCTTCCGAAATGAGGTGTAATCATTGCAATTTCTCTACCGTTACAATAATCATTGTAACGCGTAATGACGTGGACGTTACGATGACGCGACTGAACTCGTTAATTGTGCCCGAATTAAAAAAAATTCAAGTGATCTCTGCCAATGAAACTCATCGAAAGTAACCCATTCGGGTGGTCCAAGTTTAGTATTATCGGTATACTCTCAAATTATATATCGATATACATTATATATCGGATACATTTGTATGCTCACTGTTGCCTTCGATGTATCGCTTTACTTTGTTTTACTTTGTTTTACGCGCAAGACAAACGAATTGACATTGGTATCACACACAATCGTCGATACACTAGTATTAAGATTTTGCCTCCAGATATAATATTTAGGAAACCATCATTAAAGGGCATGTGTAATATACACTATTGTCTACCGCCGTGTTTTAACGAACGGTAACAATGGTGGCGTTAATTAAACAACCGTCTCCGCGCAACGTGTATACGAATAAAGCGGAGAAAGACGGAGTAGTTCATTAATCAACGAAGACAAATACACGGAATATGATGACGGGAACGAATGGACATACGCTGAGGTATTCGCATTACAGTACTTCGCGAAATGACATTTTTTTTTCCTATGAGATAATCGCGATCTCTGCGCAAAACACGATACGTGGATAAGCTTATTTCAATGTATACAACGTATATAGGGGTAACACGGCGACTTTATCGCTCATTTAATATTCGGTTAACAACGAACATGCATTTATATTTTTTCTACATTCACTTATTATGCTACACTCGTAGTCAACTCCGTACTACTGTGATTAGATATATCTCTAGCGCCGCTGGTGAAAACACTTAATGCGATTCCCTACTTCTGATACGCGAGCCCGAGTACTACGACTGCCTACGCGTAAATTATAGCTGTACAGTATATATTGTAATACTTGCGATGCATACGAGTATCAGTACTTGCGATGTAAATATATAAATATACAATATATATATAACATGCTTTCAACGAGACATTTATATATTCGTGGTGATCGAACATTGCCTCAACTTTCGTGCCAGTTTCGTGTCAGCGTGTTTCAAGTCAATCAAAAATATGATCCGTCGTATAATAGATATTCGAGAAACTCGATATAATTAACAAATGTGTGTTAATTAGAAATACGAATTTTTATAATAAAGAAGTTGGAGTAACGCAATGCCATGAAATTAGTCTTTTGCTTTTAGTTAGTGGATTAATTTCACATTTTCAATAGTTTTTACTCTTACTAAAATAAAGTAATTAATAATCTTTCTAAGATAATAATTAGCACAAAAATTGACACAATTTGATTCGATGATCTGATTTATTATTCTTAATAGTATTGGTTTTTTTTATTGGGAGAAAAAATATTTTTTGTGACTTTTAACTAAATTTTTGGAAGAATTGATAGAAATACACTCGCGTATTCAGCAACGTACAGGCTTTAATAGGTAATAAGTTAATATCATCTCACGCAAGTAAATACACATATGTATTACTCAAGAAGAGTAGCTAGAAATAATCGGGCAGCAAGAAAAAAAAAGAGACTTTTCTGATGTCACTGTATTCTATGTGCCTTCTTCCGCTTTCGATGGAGCCAATAAAATGTACCTATTAATAACTGCGAGTACTCTAACCCGAGACACGAGGCTCGAAAGAAAACGCTTTCGCTCTCGGAAATGAATACGTCGCAATTATTCTGTTATTTCTGTTCTGTTATAAAAATAGAGCAGTGCCGGTTTGTATTATAAACGTTTAATCTCGTGTGTACTTCTTTCTATCTAAAAATCATTGTAGATTAATCGTGTAGTCATGAAATCTATGTGATCAACGAACGATATTTTTATCCGTTAAAAATGGACAAAGAAATATCGATGAATGAATGATGGAATATAAATAATTAGCAGAAGAATTCTCTCAAAACGATTTTTAAAGAACACCGATTATAATAAAATAAGGGAACAATGCAAGGACGAGATTTAGATGTTGGTAAATAAATATACAATTATGCAAATGGCGAACAATTGTATATATGATTAATTATCCATCCGATTAGAGAGAGAGTTAATCTTTGTATGTATAATTATTGCTGATAGTCTAGTATATGTGTATACATAAATGGTACAATTTTGTGGTATGCCTTTATGATGTGTATGTGAATGTGTCGAGTGTAAAATATCGTTTCATTTTTTTTTTAAATAAAGTTTCTTCACGTGCAACTTGTCATATTTTCTCCTTCGCATATTTACATCCGCATCTCCAATTTATCTTCCGTTAAATGTATAATTAATTCGCTCAAAATTACTTCCACAGTAAACAGTTCACAATAAACGTTGCGTGTGTCTGCGCGATCGTAAAATACGATACGGAAAAGGGGACAACCGAAGAAAAAACTTCGCTGAATATTCGTGTACATTCCCAGAAATGAAATAATGGAAACATTGAATTAAAATTTTCTGCCTTTTAAGAATGTCCTCCGTAATGGATATGCGATGTGCACATCATTGAATCTTAATAAAATAATATTGCCGTACCTTGCGTGTCACGAAGCACTTCGTGTCGAGGGCATCACTCGAAGGCCCTGCTGCGCAAGAACGAAATGCTTCTCAAATCTGCCGTTCGATTATAATACGCCCATGCAAATTAATCTATCGCGGGAAACATTTTCTGACCTTGACGAAACGAATACGATTTTACTCTATAATCTTGCACAAAAAATTGCAGAGCGGCTAAAAAATTTTCTTTGAAAACATGGATTGCCTGTCTTTCCATGAAGAAGCAGTCTCTCCTTATGGCTCACATTTTTACAAAAATATGAATTATTTTCTTTTTGTTAGTATAATAATTTTAATATATATTATATATAATAATAAATAATAATATATAAGTATATGTATAAAATCCCATCATATATACATGAGTAATAAACCAAAGTAAAACATGATTTTTGTGTGATATCTGCAGAAAATAATTCATATTAATATCTAAATGTCTAATCTAGACAAGAGCAATCAATCATCGTGACTTATAATTTTCATCTTTTCAAATTTCTCATCCTATAATCTCTATCGTTCCGCGAAAAAAACTACGCGAAATGTGATCACATCATTTTGATAAAAACAAACGCGAGACTGAATTGTCGTTGACCTACATTCGTAGCAACTGCAAATTAAAATCAAGCATGTCCTGTCAATTGCGTAGACCGCGTAGCTTGTCACTCGATGTTTGGAGGGTTCTTCATAATAGTAGAACACCGTTACATGTTCATTACCACGCATCGCAGTATATACAGAGGGAGGGAGAGAGGGAGAGAGAGGGAGAAAAGAGAAAGCCATAAGATAGAATTTCCCATCTACGCATCGACGCAAAAAGCTCGTAAGCTAATTCGATGTTTCATGGCAACTCTTAGACAAACATAAAAATGATGACCAAATAATGGAAGCTTTCAGTCGTCGGTTTTAAAGAACTGCATTACGAATGAACCAACCAGTGAATAACATGAAAATCGAGATACGACCGCGAGCGAATTGTATCGTAAAAAAACAAAGAGAAGTCATTTGGATCGGTAAGCTTCCGTAAAAGCGTAGATACAAATAGAAATCGCGCCCTTTACCGCATTGTTAGTTCATTGCTTAAAAATAGCAAGTTAATATCGACGTGACATGCATGTGTATATTCTCAGCAGACAACGAATTTTTTAAGAATGCTAAATCAATCTAAAGTTTTTCTTCTTTCACGTAACTCTTTGTGAGGTATACCGTTTCTGTAAAAATAATGAACATGTAACGAGTGGATATATTTATCATGTTACACAATAGCATACATATGCGCTTTTGTATATATATAGATATATCACTAAAAGAAAACCATATCTCGAAGTCGAATAAAACACCAATCGTTACGTTCTACAGATATAACATATCGTATAGAAATACGATAAAAGTTCTATCGAGAATTTTATTGCGGCGCGATAGAAATTCCGCTTTCGTTCTCCGGGCGAGGGAAAATATTGGAACTTAGGGACGGCCCATTTGAACGAGCTGAACAAATTACGTTGCAACAAACACTGCGGCCTCTTTCTGTCGGTCTCTTTAAAGAGAGCAAGCGAAACGTCATAAAAATTCACGGACGCAATTTTCTGCGTGACACGCGCCAACTAGACCAACGCGATGATCCTTAACGAGATTCTTAATGAGAATGTTTTATTCATTTAAGTAACTCTCTTTAAGACGATGTAAAGTGCAAAGTAGTATTGACAAGCAATCGATTTCATAAAATAATAAGCAGAAACGCAAATTTTCGCTGTGTCCATGCTTGACCGATGCGATTAATTCCTATTAATAGCTTCGTCGGAATAAGAAATTATTAAAACGCCTTGCCTCTAAATAATAGCATAACAAGATCAATTGAAATTTTTATAGAGGCTAAGAAATAATTTTCAAAATGCTTTGAAATTAGTTTTAATAAAAGAGCGTGTTTATGTCAGTTTGTTTACATATTACGGATATTCCTATTGCAGTATATTACTAATTGTCGTTAATATTATGATCGGTTTCATTTAATATAATTAAAACGTCATCATCATTTACATAATTAATATATTTAGTATTATCGTGTTTTGAAAATTTGAAACAATAATCTTAATTTTGTATAATACATATAATATAAGAGTCTAAATTTTAAGAGACATATTTATATACATACATTCTGTAAATTATATCGCATTTTTTTATCGCAATATTATATATTTTCCGTATTCAATGAAAGCCTGATTAAGCTTATATACTTCCTTCAAAGAAGCAATATAAAAAGAAACAAAAACATAAATCTTTGAAAAGCAATTTAGTCAGTTAGTCTTTGCACTATGACCTATTATTCAAGCGAATAGTTTGGAAAGATTAACATACCTGTTGCTATCTGTTTAAAGAGAGATGTGCATTCCACATACTTCAGGATAATAGAAATGGGTTAAATAGAATGTGGGATATGAAAGATAGATTATCTTGAAACATTAACTTCTCTTAATCAATTATTGATTTTTGCATGTTCGCTATACGTGGAAGTCGTACTGAAGGCTATTTGCTGCGACTTCAGATCGATAATGGAAACAATGGAAACGGGACACATTTGCTTCTATGAGTTCATTACACCCACATATTAGTCTCTATAATTAGTCCCTATGACGACTAACTTGAATTAAATATGCGTTTATATATCACGTTACTTATTTTGAATTTAAATTACTGAAAAGGAGTACAAAAATATTTTTACGTAAATAAAGAAATAATTTATAGATATCCCTAGATATGTATTAAACAATTAGATTATAATTATTAATATTCTTATGCAGAAGGAAATAATAACTCAAACAAGGATATCTTCATTTCGATATAAATAAAAGAAATAATGTGTATGGAGAAACTTTATACTGCAATTTTACATCGTAAATTAAACTATCACCTTGTATTAAAATAATGCATTATTTAAATTAACATGATTGTGGATTGTGTAATTCTAAAATTAAATTTATTTACGCCCAGCTTTAAAAGTGTCAGATTATTCGAGTTGCAAGAGAAAATTTGCAATTAAAGAAGGCACATGTCAACATAAAGTGGTCTCGGAAGATCGGTATCAGCTTAAACGAGTCCGCGAGCTGTTTCTGAAATAAGCTACCCTACTTCGAACAGGGCGTGCGGAGGACACGTGTGTGATCGATAGGCATGTACTATCTTTTCCTAAACACGTGGATCAACGGAGTCGAGTTAGAGGTACGTTCTCGCGCTAAAATACCACGTGAGTAGTAATATCCAATCGATTCTGTCTTATAATTCTTTAAGAATATATATTGCAAATTGCAACGTGTTATTTTATTGGTTAAACAATTATGAAATTTTTAAAAAATTCTGCTATTATTTCTGTTTTCTATTTGTAATTTGCATGTGCTATTGATTTTTGAACGAGCGGTTAGGGATAAAACAGAACGCTTCAAACTCGTCTACAGAGCTTCATCACCATTTGTTGTTAACGTCAATGTTACTCGACAATTCATCCCGAATTTTTTGAGAGGTTAAAACGCATTGATATATTTTTACGATTGCTCGATTTTATTTTCAAACAGTTAGAAAAATGTATCTTATCCTGGATGAATTATTCGAGAGATCCGCAACATCAATGTATATAGAGAGTCACTTACCTTCAGCTGTTCTTGACGACGATACGCGTGCAGCATCAATTGCTTTCGCTCGTCTTCCGACATTAACGGCTCCCTCGCCGGTTTTCCAGATCCTCTCTTCTGTAATTTCACGATCACCTTGGTTTTCTCGTTATTACCCACGAAGTCCTTCATCTTCTTCCCAGGTAATAATTCCTTTCCGGAGAACCACAGCTGAGCCAATTGACCATCGATTACCTGCAACAAGTACGTGCCTCTCTAAGTATCGAGAAGATGTCGCCTATTTCCAGCGTGCTTAATTTCTTCACAAGCGACACGAAGGACATTTTCCTGACTGGCATTTTTTTTAATGTTTGAATTTTTAAGGCTCCTGTCAACTTGTTGCAACTATTTTGGATTTCGACGTCATAAGTGAGAAAATATACAAAGGAAAACATGTGCAAACTACATTAAAATATAGTAACATATTTTTTAATAAAGCAATTTGCAATCGATAAAATAAAATTGTAAAATATACTCCCTTTTCCGAAAAATTTTTTTTATTCCAAAATTATTGAATAACTATGTATTGAACTGTTTAATCATTAAAAGTAACAAAATAACAAAAACAAAAATAACAAACTGTGTACGTGATAGCTATCGAATTGAAATATATTTTTATTTTATTCTAAAATAAAAACAGAGTTTTCGATACATTCTACAAGTGTATTCTATCTATTCAAATGCGAATATTGTTTTATTAAAAAATACTTTATATTTCAATATAATTTGCACGAATTTTCATTATATATCTCCTTACTTTTGATGTCATTATAATCTAAAAAAATCCGATGGTGAGTAGTCGCGACAGATTAAACTAGTGCCGCGTGCGTGTGCCACGTTATGAATTTCAAACCGCACCGCAAGCATGCCAGTGAGATTCACTGTTCTCTTTTCTGAAATCTTAAAACCTTCATATTGACAGACTGACCGGGGTGATCATCCGTTCGATTCGACACTCGTTAACACGCGATATTCACTTCCGATGGACCAAAAGACGCGAGATCGCGAAGCGGAAGTTATCTGACGGGAACGGCCGTCGATCATTTTGATGCGTACACTTTTCGAAAGAAAAAAAAAAGGCTAGTCGCAACATTCGAGCGCGCCAGCGAGATTCGAGCACTGCACTCTTTTAAGATCTTAAGGTGGCTTTAGTGTCGGTCCACAATAAGGATTTTAAGCCTTAAGCAGTAAGAAATAGACCAATCGTAGTCGAATATGAGAAGATCGATAATCGATTGTAATTGGTCGATATCTTACGGTGTAAGGCTTTAAGTCCTTATTGTGGACCGACACTTATCGAGCAAGTCCCAGTCAAAAGTTAGTCCCTCCATATGATTAACAATTCAATAAAAACATTTCGCATAGACTGACACATAGACATATAAGATAGACTCCACATGAAAAATCCAGCCGATGTGGAGTCTATCTTATATATGTCTATGGACTGACATATGCGATTGTTTGACGTTTATGTGACAGCGCCACCCTATCGAGTTGGCGTTGAGCGATAAAACCACCTTAACCTTTATATCGACAAATAGAAGACAAAATAGACCAACCGAGATGATCAGCTGTTCGATTCGATACTCGTTAGTATGCGATATTCTATTCACTTGCGATGGACCGAAAACCGCGAGAATGCGAAGCGTAATAAGTTATTCGACGAAAACGGCCGTTGGCATACAACTTTCGAAAAGCAAGAGGCTTAGACGCGCGACGTGAACGCGGCAAGATTCGAGCACCACTTTTGAAATCCTAATCTATTTATATCGGCAAAATAGAAGCCAGGTAGGCGGACCGAGATGATCGCCCGTTCAATTCGACAACACTCGGTAGCACGCGATATTCATTTTCAATGGACCAAAAGACGCGAGATCACGAAACGTCAGCTGCCTGACGGGAACGGCTGTCGGTCATTTCGATGCACGCACTCCTTTCGGGAAGGGACCTAAGGGAACTAACCGCGACGTAAACTAGACGCGAGCGAGGCTCGAACATCGCTTTTAAAATCTGAATCTTTATATCGAAGAAAAAAAGATACACGATCAGGAATCTTTAGACAAGCAACTGTAGTGCTGCCAAATATCGCGATATAGATATGCGATATAATGAACGAAACGCACCTGACATGTAATGTTTCCTGTAGTTAAATCACAAAGATATGGCACAAAATCATACTTCCAATTGATAGACGGACCGATGCGACACTTCCGACACTCGTTCGTACGCGATGTTTGCTTTCGACGGAAAGACGCGCGCGGCGCGACATCGCGGAGCGAAGTAACGCGACCTCACGCTTGGGTCTTCGCTCCGCGCGGACTAAGCAGACTAAGCTGCTTTACCGAAAATTTGGACGTATTAGGTAGGCGAAAAATCGTAAGAGGAGGAAAAGTCATAGGAAGCAGTAAAATTGTAGAGAGGGGACGGTAGTTCATTGGCCACTTCGAAACCAATCCGCGTTTCGCCGAAAAAAGTGGCGAGCCACGACGCGATGTAAACAAACAAGCCGAGGCTCGAGGCTCGCGAGCGATGTTTTGTTTACGTCGCCGGTCGCGAGCGTCGCTTCTGAGAAACCGCAAAAAAAGCTGCTTTCACTTTCGAGCGCCGCTTCCGCGAAACGCCAAAACACTTTCACTTTCGAAGAAGTGGCGAACGCTTTAAACTCTTTAAAGTCAAATCGATGCTATAAACGCGAGGCATTTGAAGGAACTGTACAGGTTGCGCAGAAAAAGACGCGGCATCGCGGATTATATCATAAATCCATCACTGTCTCCGTGACGGAATCGAGATATCAATTTGTCTGTACATACGCTATATACAACATTTTTACAAAACGTTCTAAAGAATGCATAAGAAATTCGAACGTCTCTTAAGCGATATTTTTTAAAGCGTTGGTATCGTCTTATACTGCCATATCGGTTATCAATTTTCAGATGTATACCTCGAGAGATGCTTGAGTACCGGTAAGATCTTCGGTATTCTCAAACTCCTTACGTATCACGTCGTGTGGTGGAAGCCCCATCGGATAAACGATTGTCACGGCGCCTCTTAACAAATCCAAAGCTTCTTGAACTGTCTTCTGGGTAACCAGTTTGTCTTGCTGCACTAATTTCTACGATTGTACGAAATAATGTTGAAGCATTTGTCAATCGAGAGTTTAGAAAGGATAACAAATTAAATTGCATTTACTTTCGATGTCATGGCACGCGCATCCTCGACAGTCTTCTTCAGCACCTCCTGCATCTTCTCGTTGGGCTGTCTACCGTTTCTGCAACCTGTATTTATCTAAACTCAGTCTTAATTTATCATGTGAGATGTGATTAAAAATACCAGCTCCAATTCATTTGCGCATTCTTAATAAAACTTTATATCATTCAATAAACATTTTCAAAATTAAATAAGAAATATGTTCGATAACAAATTGCTTTATGCGCTTTTATGAGATTCTTTTTATTACAAAATATTATAATCTCAAGATAGTTTTACAGACAATTATTTTTATTGAAATTATTGGAGAAAGGAAAGCAGATGAACTGAAAAATATACGATAGAAATTAAGAGAATTTGGAACATTAGAAAAAATAATAAAAAAATGACCTGATAATTTTAATAGCAGTATAGTTTACGTTTACTATTATTGAAATACAAAATAAATAAAACAGATAACTAATATTAAATTAAGAACTGATGCACTAAAAACATAATGAGTATGTCATACTTCGCTTTATTTAATAGCTCTGTAGGCATTTTCGTTTTTTAAACGTTTCTAAAAGACTCACGGTTCATTACCGATTAAATTAAAAGATGCTCGTTTTTATAATAAAACCTATTATCCGGCACCGGCGAACAATATTACGTACCGATCTTGTCTTTGTTGAAAGTCCAACCGCCCATGGGCACGCACTTGTCGGCCCATTCGTCCTTGAGCTTGAGCTCCTCGATCTGCTCGTCCGTGAGGCCCATTATGTCAGGTGGTAACATCGCCCCGTGCTTAGCCAGCTCCTCGATCTCTATTTTTTTACGAAAGAGATACCCGTGAGAGAGCGAACCGAGAGGGAGAGTGAGCGACCGTAGTCAAGTATATATCCGTATAATTATCCCGCGTGACTAATATCACACGATGCCCAGGATAGATGGGTTCATAAACTCAGGCCTCGACTTCTTATTACATGCGGTTATTACTAGCCACAGGTGTGCCCCGAAGAGATAATCACTAATGGATTTTTCGCGTTAATATTCCGACTGCGAGGCCAGGGCCTGACGCGTGGTTCACCTCGTGCCACAAAAGCTCGTAAAGAAAAAAAGCAATCGGTATTGTCTTCGTTGCTACTATTCATAATTTAGACGTATACTGTTCAATATTTTTCATAGATTTGCTTTGCTCCAAATGAAAATATTTGTGCTATATGATAAGAAAGTAATATGGTATCCGTTAAGATAATATATATTGAAAGAACTTTACGTGTTCCTGCATGTTAAAATTCATAAAAAAAAGTTGAATAAATAAATTATATATCCATTTATATTTACTCGTTAAGTTGTTAACATGCAGTTATGATTTTTCAAAAATAATCTAGAATTTCCAAAATGTATTTAATTCTACTCCGTAATACATATTTGGAGTAACCTGTAGGAAATATATAACAAATTTACCGTAACAGATTCTTGAAATCTTCAAACGACCATTGTAGATTACTACGATGTCACTTAAGACATCGTCCACATTCGCCTCTACGTGGGTGTCATATAAAAATTGGCTGTCATCACCTTTCTTCACGTGCAATCTCACCATTTTTATCGAGTGTTGAACTACCCAAATTTCTCCGTTATAAGATAATGTATTAAGTCGTGATTCAAATATCTTCGTAATTTCAAGGTTTTTTATCGAGACAATGAACACAATTATAATTACTAATTTGACTTGAGCGTCGAAATAAATTCTGCTAAGTGCATCGGCGAATTGTCACGAGGAACCAAACACGAGGTACTAAACATCCAACATATATTCATCCAACAAAAGTAGCCTGAACATCGTCAGGATGGGTCGTCCATGGTAACACAAGTTATCGATTAAACAATATGCGAATATGGCTATCAATGTGAGAGAAATTAATATGAAAAGTTCGCACGAAAAAGTTTGATAAACGGTTGAAAAAAATTAAATTGACCAAGATGTAAAAAGAATCATGAAATTGACTGATTAAATATCAACGGGATAAAAGAACTAAAGGGAAACAATGAAAATGGATCGATAAAGATTAGGAAGATGTTGCTTAATGAATGCACATAAAAAACATATGTGTATATATATATATATATATAACTTTGTGTTGCTCATTATTATATAATATACATATTTACATTCTAGTGGAACACGGATTACAAGAATAAAGACGTTCATATATCGTTACAAATATGAAGAAACGCCGACGACGTCTCTCCATTTCAGTCGTCGTGCTTCTACTGGCGTTTATTGTTGACACAAAAATATGATATATTTTGTATGATTACTTAACGTCGATATAATATATATAGTAGCAATTAATAATATTTTAAATATTCTCTCGGCGCAACGTTGCACAATAAAAATCTATGTCATAATTCATAATTCTCGGCTATAATGTAAGTGACTAGTATTACGTTAAAATACACTTAGAGTTTCAATTCGATGAGGTGCATCTTACGCAGGTCATTTTTCCTGTTTGAGGTCCAAACAAAGGTGATCCATGGACGTAACAAACGATTGGTAGTCTTTATCTGTCAAATAATATTTCGTTACGATTGTTACGTTGCCTACGCTTCCTATTTCGCACGGACAACCATTGCGTCCAGTTATTTGTTACGTCCACGAGATGGTCCCTATGGTAATTGTTGCATGCGGACATGTCGAACGATTAAACATCCTAAGCGCGTGTTCTAAATTCGCGAGCGTAATTGATCGACTCGCGACGATTCCGAAGTAAACACGGCGAAAACAAATATCTTTTTTTTTTTTCATTTTAACTCTTAACATCGACACGAGTAACAATGATAGTTGTTCGAGTGGAGTCCACCACTCGTATGGTGGAACAACGAGATTTTGGAAACTTATGCTTTACTCAAAATCCTTTCGCATTGCTCGAACTGCCGTGGCGATCGTGACCTCGGCGATAAATCTACGATAACGAGCGGAGCTGCACAATGCACTGCTTTACTCACACAAATCGTTACACTCGAAATATTTTTAATCTCACAAAAACAAAAGAAATGTCGAATATTTTATCGATTTCTATCTAAAAAAAAAACTCGATTACTCGCATTTATTGTTTTTCCGCGATTGTGATTCTCTTATGGCGTTTACTTCGTGAGCAGCTGTCATCGTATATTTTAACAGTATTAATACTATAATAGAATATAATTGTATGCATTTAAGTATCAAATAACGCACATTTTATGCTATAAGAAAATAGAAATAATCGGCATAATTTTATAGCTCAAAAAGCTATATAACCATAAGTTATTTTTGCTTAACTTTCCTCACTATGTATTTTTTCACACAGCAGCTTAAACGGCGCAGCAGTGCATCGTGTAACTCCGACACTGAAACGGCGTAGTTCTCTCTTTTACATGTAACAAACACGTGCTTATAAGAGCACATTTATAAATAGACACACGTGTACATGAGTAAGCGACATTTACATATCCGCTCATCTACGTGTGGCAACATTTATGGGAGAGGAAGAAAATTCCTCGATCGAGACGTTTGTCAACTACTTTAATGTGATACGCTATGTGATAGAAAAATTGGCATTTGGTCCGAAAAAAATATACGAAATGCATGTGAAATTTGTATTTCTCAGACAGTACCCTATCTAGGCTTCGTCCCATCTTTAGGAGCCTGACGGAAACGTTAATCAACATCGTCATTATAAATGGTCACGTACGAACGATACGTACGAGCGTTCACTTGGATGCGGTTTTATTTACAGCTGTCACTGTAACTGATTGGTGCATTCTACAAGTTTGAATGATTCTGTATAGCGACTGTATTGTTGTTCTACGCGACATTTTATTATGCGACTCAGTCCCACAGATATCATTTGTTCATCAAAAAATTTTATCGATCATAGAAAAATATTTGACATGAAGTCTAGTAGTAAAATTTTGTTGCAAAAATAAGATATTAAAAGAAATTCCAGCTATAATCTATATTATAGTCTTTGTAAAAGTCGAATCAATGACTCTTTATATCAGGAAGTTTTATCGATTAAGAATTATGAGAAAAATATCGTTAATATTATCTCTCTCATCTTGGTCGTGCTCTCCTTGTTCTATCTTATTTTTATCGAAGATATGAACTTGTTATAGTACAAAATAAATCCATGAAGTCGCTATTATCATATAAAACACATATACACATAGTCGTCGAAAACACCGAATGACGTTCATTTTCTATCCCGCAACCGGAAACGTTTACCTAACCGTTTTTTCAATCTTTTAGCATTAAAAAATGCAATCAAATTAAACTTGCAGCGAGACACGATTTTAAGAATCGCGCCCAACTGCGGGATTTGATAGATTTTATAAATTCTCGAACAATATCAGAGTTGCAAAAATAATGGATTCTTATATCCCAAAAAATATATACAGTCGACTTATTGATATTTATTCATTATTAAAACTGCTCAATAAAATTGTCCGTTCTTTTTTGTATCTCGCCTTTCACTAACTTTCATGACAAACGGACGGCAAGATCTCTGGACAGTAAACGTCATACGGGGGATTCTACTACTATACTACTTTACGATAAAATAGATTGCTTATCTCAAGTCCAAAAACAGTTGCTGAACGAAGCTAACTACGACATCGGTGGGTTTTGGTTACTGATCGCGCTGATCGATCGAGATTATTCCTCGTCGATGGTAGGCTGGACTTGTAATACGTCCATTAGAGTCCTATGGTCACACTGCTGCTCGTCGGGTACTTGGAGAGTGACGGTGGAGATGGAAGCGGAGGTGGAGGTGGAGATAGAGGAGACGGAGGTGAAGGTGGAGAAGGAAGAGCAAGAGGACGAAGAGGAGGAAGGGAAAGAAGAACCGTGCAACGATAGTTGCACGGTACTCTGTTCTCAAACTTTACTTTCGGGCCCGTCGGTGCTATGCTTGAAAGAATTACGGATTTTGCTCAGATGAAGAGCAGCGATGTGTCCGTAGCTCTTATTGTACCATTCAGGTGTGCGACCCCTGAAAACAAATTATTTCATTTGGATCTTCGTCTAATTTCAAATCTATTTAGTCTATAAATTTATTTCTAAATAAATAATTATTTTAGATAAAAATAAATGAAACAATTTTTTTTCAACTAGATTTTTGTAAAACATTTCTAAGTAAACGTCAAGAATCAAGAAAATAAAGTGAGTTATTTTCAAGAAAAATGCTTGATATTACTTACTTCGTATCGACTCTGGATAAATGCATAATACGAGATTTGCCGCTGCCACATGGTTCGATAAGATAACGTGAGGCCAAAACAATGCCGCGAGTTCCCCCGAGCATGACAGGAGCGTCTGGATGTTGCACGGATGTTTCGACAATGACGCAAGTACCTTTAGGAAGATCATTCCGCCAAGATCTACAAAAATTAATTATGCTAGTTAGAGACCGTATATATTTTTTTTTAGCAATCGTTCAAATTCACGGAAAATAAAATATTCGTTATAAAAATAGACTAATGTCAAAATATATTTGTGCATATAAATAATTTGATTATGTGACATAATTTTATTAACTCACCTTAATACACAATAATCTCGAGCGGGCAGCGGACTCATGTTTCCGGTTGCGTATTGGAAGACCTCCACGTTGGTGTCTAACTTGGTCACCAGTCTGTATTTTAAAAGTTGCGGATCCCAGATATGCCTTTCTCTTAGCACACGATGTAACAGCTCGTTTGGCGGAGCTTCAACCTCGGTTGACACTCGCCAGAGACGAAGCGGATGTCCGTCGCCGACCTTTTTATACGCCATTTCTACGCTGTTGTCGGCAGGATTGTTTACCGTGACCCAACCGCGACTTCTGCTAGAACGAATTGCAGTCTCCATTTAGCGCATATAAATCCTCTGTTAAGCTATTTATTTTATTTACTTGTTTGTTCTATACTCGATGTATCCTTCTTATTTTTCCTTTTTCATTTATAATTGTCTGTACAAAAACATATATTTTTGATTCTATAATTTTTTATCCGCTCATATTTTTACTAAATCCTAATATTTTTTTGCGAATAAATAAATTAGGTAATGATGACATGTACTCACTTTTCTCGCGCTTCCTTCAGCAATGCCGTGGTGCAGGCGTACAGGTAGCCCCTCCAATCCTGCTTCAATTCCGAGCCGAGTTCCTCCAGCGCGACTGGAATGCTCTCTTCCATATAATTAAAGTGACACTGCGTCAGCATGTCCGACGAGACCTGAAAGAACCGGAAGAGGCATGAGCCGTGCCGTTCCCTTCGTTCGCGTTCGGGAACGAAATCGAGCGCGCGAGCGATCGCGATCGACGAATGACGATGCCTTCGGCACTCACCATGAATAATTCACGATGCATCTTGACCAGATACAGAAGACAATCGTGAGCGGCTTTGTTTTCCGACAGTTCCCGCTGATCGGGAATGCCCACGGTCTTTCGCCTACGTGGCGACACGCTGCTCGACCTGTTGGTCACGTTCGTGTTGCTGTGGTTGAAATGGAACAGGCTCGGAGCTAGACACACAGACAGGTTCGAGGCTGTCATTTGGTTATAGGGCGAGTTACTGGCGACATGATTCAAGAAGTCGAGCAGAGTCTCCAATGCCTCGCGATGCTCGTCCGGAAGCAGCAACAGGACGCACTGCACGGCGTCGGGTCGCAACTCCACCGGCACATCTGCGGGAAGAATCGATCCATTGCAAATTCACGTTTTTCCTCTTTTCGCGCCTTTAATTACACTACAAACTAGAAAAGCAAGGAATTAGACTTACGTTGGAAGATGGCGATGAACGTCTCCGAGAGCTTGTTCGTCAGCAGAGCCTCCGGCAGCTCCCTGAAATACTGTTTGACAAGATCGGCGACGTCAAATGCCTGCTGCCCGTCAAAATTGATATTGTCCCCCTGGGTCTCCGTCATGATCTTCAACTTCTGTATCCTCGACTTGACGCCGCTCTTTCTAAAGATGCCCACCTGATCCAGAGCGTTGGCCCTCAGCCATCTCAGGGCGATTTGAATGCACTTAGGTAACGCTTGACCGGTTCTCTGTAGCGACAGTAAGAGCGGCACTCCGAAAACCGTCTTGTCTTTATAATCAGGCGACTTGATTTTCCTGATAAACTTCGGAAGCTCCCAGTTCCAGCCAGTGCGATGAGTCGGACAATACCGTTCCATGCACGCCGTGAGTTTCAGCAGTGCCAGCTTCCTCAGGACTAAAAGTTGTCCGCACGACATGGATGCCATCGCTCTGGGGCACAACGGGTCCAAGGGTTCGGGGTAGAGCGACCCTCTCTGGAAGCTGTGCCACCTCACAACGGTGCCCTTGTGCCTGGGCGATTCCTCTTCCGGCTCGGAATCTCTACTAGCCACGGTGGAGCCACTCTCCTGACTGCCGGCCAATTCAGAGCTCCTACTCCTGGATTTCTCTCGGTAGACTGTCACATCCTTGGCCAGCGACTTGCCTTCCCTGTGCGAATCGTCGCGGTGCCGGAAGCTCTTGCGTGTCTTCTCCTCCCGCTTCGAGGAGGATGTCGCCTTTTCCTCCTTGCTCTGCACGAGCTTGTCGCGATACCTCTGCGACTCCTTGCCGAGATTCAGGCTGCCGCCGCGAGTGTTGATCGGTGTGTTCTTCGCCGGCGTGGAAGTCTGGGAACGTTCCTTGGAACTGTGGGAACGTACGCTCACGAACTCGAGCACCTTGGCGTGATTGCTGTTAGCGTCGCGGAAGTATCGGTGTCGCCAGTTCGTCGGCTGGCACTCGGAGTCGCTCAGCGCGCCCTGATCCTCCCTGCCGCGGTGTAGAAATCGGCGGGCGCGACTCATCTTTGTGCGGGTCGGCGTCGGCGTCGGTCCACCGCCCTGCGAGCCGTCCGAGCAGTAGCTGGAGGAGTCGTCGCCGAAGGGACTAGGCGCGTTCGCCAGCGGCGACGGCGGTAGATGATAGGGAGAGGCCGGTAGGGTGGCCGGCGAGCCGGGAATTGGTAGAGGCGAAGCCGACAGGAGTTCGTTGAAGGACACCGGCGCCGGCCCCGTGGGCGACACGTCGACGCAATTCAGCTCCTTCATCTTCTGCTGCATGGACATCACGTCGAGCACCTGGGGTCCGCTGATCACCACCCCGTCGCGATTCTGGCGCTTCCGCCGTCGCGATTTTAGAGACTCCACGCGCCTCAGGAAAGCCTTTGCGCCGTCCCGTAGCCTCTCCGAGCCGCTCCTGCGAAATCGCGCGCTGTTCTCCCCGTCGGGGACGGTCCCCGGTGGCAAGCTGCCGTACTGCAGATTCTCCAGCATGGTATCCTCCGCTTCTTCGGCCTCCAGACGATCCTCGATGGAGTCGTCCTCGGACGCGGCGTTCTGCCCGGCGATCGCCTGCAGCCTCTCAACGTTCGCCGCTGTGACGTCGCCTATGCGGGACCAGCGTCTCGTCTTCTTCTCGAAGGTCCATTTTTCGCTCAAGGCGCACTGCGTGTCCTCGTCGGATTCGTCACCACCGCCACTCTGTAAGCACAAACGATCACATAATTTAAATTAAAGCGAATTTTAACATGACAATTAATGTACTAATTATAATATATTGATATCAATTTATATATATATATATATATATATATATCCTAAAGTTGCATTTTATAATTAATAATAATATAATAAACCGATAATAAAAGAAGAAATAGAACAGATGCAATAATTATTTTGATTAACAAAATAATTATTTTCGTTACAGAGAAAGCATTAATCATTTTTTTGAAAAAATTGGTTTATTAATTTGGTCCATCGTTAAAGCATTAAATTTGATTAAATTACCGTGCAGATAAAAATTGTAATAATTACTGTATTTTTAACAAGAATATATCATAGTTATTCCGATTGACCTAAATTTCCAGGCAAAAAAATGCGATGTGGCAAAATGTGATTCACCAGTCTGAATCACGATCCGGATCCAGCTGAATCTGGATTCGGGAACTTGATTCGAATGAATTCCACTCGTACATAATACATGCGGCTTTCGCGAGCGGGGCCTCGCGCCCATTTATTTCGCGCAGAGGATAATCCTGTCGCGTGCAAGGTGCGATTCGGGCAAGCACAAAGTAAGTAATAAACTAGCCGGCCGGCGCGTGTAATCCGTAAAGGCCTGGGCGTTTCTTCCGCGGGATTACAGCGGGCTAACAAAGTGGCCAGACTGTGTGTGACTCACGTTATCCGACGCGACGTCCATACCGCGGAGGAAAGCATAACGTTGGAGATAAACGATGCTCATCGAATGCTTAACGAACGACGGTGCTTCGTAATCAATTCGTAACGACGAAATTGAGGACCGCCGCTGGTGTTGGGGAACAGGCTGATCCCGCCCGTGCTCTATAATTAATTGTAGAAAGTGTTCCGCGCACCGGCCACTTTTACCGTTCGTAATCGGCGATGGGGTCTTAAGGTCGTAAGTCAAGTATTTCCTGCTGGCCTCGGTAGTAAAGAGAAAAAGAAATCACCGGCTCGATAATCGCGAGATCATTAGCTGGCGTAATATAAGAATTAAGCAATTTTCGAAGAACCGAGATGGACCGGGAAACTCGAGATTTTCCGATGAAAGCCACGCGCTAATCGTATCAGTAAGATAAAAAGAAAATTTTATTATTTATAATGGAAATAGAACGTCGCCAAATGATACGAAAATTATTACGTTTGTACATAAATGATAAATATACGTAATAATGGCTTATATATAATCAGTTTTATATCCGAGATATCACCATCAATTAAATAAATGTTACAAGAAGAAACATTGTAAATTTCCATCACGTCAAAACAGTTTACGTCCCAATTATGTCTCCTAAATTAAATTTCATTGTACCTTCTGAAATTTACGGCCGGCTATTACTGACTTACCACCACTGCTCCACTCAACGTGTCCGTCCGACGCGAACTGACACGACCCCAAACCGCGTGTTCCTAATTCATTTCGGGAAGCTTCGACGTCCGGAGAAACGATTGCGCGCGCTTTTATCGCCGCGGTAAATCCCGTTTTATATAGGAAACACAGCGTGCCTAAGGCAGTGAGTTGTGTGATGCACGTCGTAAAAAATAATTTACTAGAACGATCCCGCGAGGCGCGGCGCGGCGCGGCGCGGCGCGGTGTTGAGTGGCTAACGCTCGAATTAAATGGGTTTCCGTGTCGTCGTGGAGAAATGAACGGGGTTTCATCTTTTCGCGTCTTTCTCTCTATCTCTCTCGTTTTTTTTCCTCGTTCGATTATGCGAGTGGCCGAATAATAATGAGGTAGCGCTTCTCCTCGGGGATGTGGGCCACGGATAAAAATACGCGGCATTGCACGCGCGGGATATCGGCCCGGGAAATAACGCGTGGGCGCCGTCGGCAGAAAATAGATTTTTGAGATTTCGGAGTGCATTTCGCGCTCTGTATTGGCCTAACGCTACAGGCGGGGCAGGCGAGCGAGGGGCTTTCGAAACCCTTCCGTCGGGGTGACAGAAATAAAGTCGGCCGGATGACGTCCGACAGCGACGTTGTCGACGACGACGACGACGACTTCGGTGACATACGTCGGGTCTTTGATGAGATCTGCGAGGCAAGGTTCACGCCGATGTATAAGGCACGGTATAATTGCGAAACTATTTTTGCGCCGCTAATTATTCCTTCCGGCGGCCCCGGTGCGTATAAATAAAACGTCTCTTTCGCGCGCGGAAACGCTCGGGAGTGGCATATTACTTCTTTTTAGTGGCGCCGGACAGACTGACATCAATCATCCGGGAATCGGTACGAACTTCATTATAACACTTATACATATTTATCTAGAAATAAATGAAATATCGAGAGGAAAGTGCGCGAAATGCATCCTCGTGTTAATTTCAACAATATGCTACAAAAATACAAAATAAATTTTTACAGTTGTTTCTAACTTTGTTATCTTGTAACAAAGATAATATTTATTCGAGTTAAAGGAAAATAAAGGGAGGATTGTAAGAGATATCATTTATTGATATTTATCTATAATGCTTTAATATTCTTTGATTGTCGTGCGAATTTTTGTTCGGTTTTCTGGCGTCACGCTATATTTTTCATATATACAATAATGTAATTTTAAGTAAAATTTTCACGTTAAAATACACATTCCAATAAAATATGTTTTCATTAATAAAAATATTCGGCGCTAAGTTCATAGAATAGAATTTACAATCTACAATATAAAATCAATGCAAAGTGTTCTTAGTTCATATACACATGGTAGTAAGTAGGAAGTGTATGTCTATTCAAATTGATACACGCGGCACCCTGAACCCACGTAGTATCAAATTGGATACACGTGGCAAAGTGTTAAAAATCAGCGCTTTATAAAGAGTCACGAGATTTTCTTTCCGTAAACCGTCGCATTTCTTGTAAATTGTGCATTCATGATACTCCGGGGAAATCCTGAGACCGTATAAGATTCAAAACGTGATCTTCTCTTCTTGTTAGATGAGAAACGCGCGCGTCTGTGTGTATGCGTGTCGAATGGTGCCACCGTGAAAACCGTGCGAGGCGTTGCCACGACGGTGAGACGAGGGTCCATTGTCATGTAGCGTGGATCACGTGAGATGGCACACAGGCGTACACACTCCGTGTATGTGTGTGTGTGTGCACACGCAGAAAAAGGATTAGCCAATGAAGCTAAAATACAACTATGGCAGCTAAGACGTGTCGTTAAAATAGGGACAGCTAATGTCGTTGCTGCCGAAGTTTAATTTTAATAAGTTTTTAATAAGTTATTAAAATGTAGGTGCTACAGCAAAAAATATTTGCTGCTCAAAATCAAATGATATTTAGCCGAATCTACTATGCTATTTTATCTTCGCAATAGAATAATAATATTTGAAGTATATATTGCAAAATGTAAATGCTAAATGCGCTGTAGATGTGCATACGGCAGTGCCACATTGAAAAAACAATTACAAATCAAATTTTCGCGCGTATAGCTATAAACTTAGCTCTGTGTGCTAAATGTGTGTATGATAAGATATTTAGGTACGCATGCCATCTTTTTAGCTGCCTGTACTGATATATGCTTTTAATTTCAGTTAATAAATTTTTAGGCGGTAGCTCTTATAGCTAAGATTATAGCTTTGATTCAGCTATTGAAATTTAGTTACTATTACTAAGTAATTTTTTTGCGTGTGTGTACGTGTATGCACGTGTGTGCGCTCCACGTGGAAATACAAAGGCGTCAAGTTTCGTAACGAGGAGCAATGTGTCGGTCCTATTGTTAGAAAGCCAACCGTCTTCGGGGCGCACGAAAAGACGCCCATTTCGGCTTAGTCACCTCATGGGGACTCGACGAGATACCAGGAGAAGTCGCAGGGGTCACCATGTCGTTTCTCTTTCCTCGGTGACGGAGCAACCAGGGCAGCCCGTGATAGAACTCTAGCTGATCGGGAAGACGGATAATAACGGAACGAAAAGCTCTCGGATGCGTGAATGCCGATAACGACTTTTCAGGTCAACACAAACCGGAAGGCTAAATAGGATCCCTCGTTCGTGAATTGCGATAAGTACCTGGCATCATGACGCGGAGGCGCGATGAGAATGCAAAGTGTCCATTAAGCTTTCAACGTGTAAAATTAATGGCTTAATTTAGTTATTTAAGTTTATGAATTTCGACAAGTTATAATATATTCTGAAGTCTCTATATGCTTTTGTTTGATATAAATGCAAATTAATATGGACTATCGCATATTCAACTATACGGCCGTGTTTCTAATTTCTATCTCATATGTTGCAATTCCGATTATCTGTACCTTAATTCTATCTGACATTTCGCCGTCGTTGAGTATTATACACCGGTGTCACGCCTGATGAAGGGCGAGACGGCGAGAGGACTCTACGAGCCAACTACGAAGACTATGCATTTACGTCGCGGAGGATCGACGCGATAGACACTCTTCGTCATCCTCCACCGAGGAGGATGCACCTTTCGTAATGCATCTAATGCGCATCGGACATCGGCATCGACTCTCTCTCTCTCTCTCTCTCTCTCTCTCTCTCTCTCTCTTTCGCTCTCTCTTTCTCCTTCGCGCATAAGTTTCGCGGTCGATTACCATCCGTTCGGCACTTGGATCGTTGGCTCGCTCGCATGCACGTTATCTGCGTTTCCGTTCCGGCGCATTACTACAAGAGACGTGACGATACCCCCATACGTGAGTTATTTCCGCGCGGCACTCAACGAGCCGTGTCGCCCCGCCGTATGTACGGCCGACGTCACTTCCGTCTAAGCAGGTTGAACAAACCTCCGTCCGCCGTTTTTCTGGGCCTGGGACGATGGACGGTCCGACATATGTATGTACGCCGCGCGAATACGTGCAGCGGTCTCGGCTATATGGAAGGATATTCGTTACGCAAGAGGAAAAAAATTCATCCCGACTTCCGACGAGTGTCCCTATTAAAATGCATATCTCATCATTTACTTGTTTAATATCTCTGCGAAAGACGTGTGTGTAATATTATTTCGTTACATC